CCCGCCGCCTTGGGAGGGGGGCGGGGGGGCAGGGGGCAGGGTCAAGCCTTCCTCCCGCCGGGGGGGTTAGGAGCTTCCCCGGGGCCAGCTCCCGCTGACCGACCGACGGACCCAACCGCCTTCCCGCGGCCCGGTACCCCCTCAGGTGCATTCTTGATCTTCATGTTGCAAGACAGTGATTTGCGAGGTGAAGTTAGTTTTCCTCAAGGCGCGAGCGCTCTCGGGAGGTATGAGGAGCTCCAGCTTCATCTGCTAATAAGGACTCCAGAGGCTAAAAATATTTTAATACGCTTGCGAAGCAGTGGTTTGTTTTGAATGGCGGGTGTTGTGTTGGCTTTGGAGAAGCATTTGTTTGGCAAAGAGGGAGTGACTTTCCGTGGAAGAGAAGCACATTAGATCCATTTTTTTTTTTCATTTGCATTTTTTATGGAAAATTCAGTAATTATCATTTATAGGTATTGCCATGATCTTCATGACAATTATGACAAGGTTTACTTTTTAACGCTGAAAATGAGTGTTACATTGCTTATGTTATGCTAAAGCTTACGTTGCAAAATAACTGTACTGAAAGCAGATTTGTGACTTGAAAACTAGTTACTGCTACATCAATCTCGTAAAATTCCTCTGAATTATTTAATAAAGTTTGGAGTTAATTTTGTTATAGAAGTATAAGGAGTTGTATTAAGATTAAAGTATGAATTCTTTTCATTATCTTTTTTTTTAAAAAAAACCCCCAAAAACCAACAAACCCCCAAACTTAGTTCCAGGATCATTTTCAGAAGAATTTTCTACTGGCTACCTCCTAGGAGAGCTTCTACACAAATACGGTCTTCAGGATGACTTTAATCAGTTTTCACAGAGCAGGTTAGTACATGTGGATAACATTTCTCTTACAGAAATTAGACAAAATTTTTATTTTTCAGTTAGGATTTGCTGATGGAGAGCGGGAAAGACATGTAGAACAAACAAGATTTGATACTTTTATCAGTAAATCAAAAAGCTACTTGTATTTGATGCATGGATTAGCTTTGTATTTCCAGAGAGATTGATCATACTACTTCAAGAAAATTATGTATTTTGATTGTAATTGTGGTAGTAGCAGGTTACATCAAAAGTTCAACAAGCCGTTCAAGGATGTCTCTAAGATTGGAGATACTGACCCTGGTCCCATGAGCTATGTAGAGCCAGGAATCCAGAGAAGTGGTGTGGTGGTGACCATTACATCTTCGCTAAAATGAAAATGGTGGAGATGCATTGTGAGGCTCTGAGTGAAGCCCTGGTGGAAGATCATACAAGGATTTAAAAGTTTACACGTAAACTGGTGTAATATCCACAATGAAGAAGAACAGAAAAACAGGAAGTTGAAAAATCTTGTACAGATCTGTGAGCCCTGATATGTTGGTGATGCAGTTCATGGGGTTCCGTTGCTTATGCTCCATTTTGGCAGACCTTGGTGCACACGTATATCAAGTGTGCCAGGCTGTACATCCTCTTCATGTTTCTCCTGAACCTCTTTTTTATGTTCTTTGCACTTCTCATTTATTTATACCCTTTCCTATCCAAGTCCCACAAACTTGTAGGAGAGCAGCTTGAGCACAGCTAACAAAGAAAGCCAACAAACACAGCAGTTCTGCACAGCAGTTTTTGGGCTCTGCTTCTAGGACTTCTAGGATCATCTCCTCCAAGAATAATACGTCTCAATGTGAATAAAACTGAACAAAGCCAGCAGGGTTCACAAATGGAAGAATAAGGTGCTACTGACAAAACTCAGACATAAAAAGGAAGGTTGGGCAACCCAGGAAGAGCACTGAGACACTGTCTGAGTATGCAGGGACGGCTTTAGGAAAGGAGTCAAAACTGGTGAGGAACATGGAGAGCAACCAGAAGGGCTTTTAGAGGTATCTCCACAGCAAAAGGGAAGGCTAGAGAAAATGTGAGCCTACTGCTGACTGTGGCACAGGACACAGTGAAAAAACCCCTGCATTGCTTACATTGAGGAAAACATTACTTGTGCTCCCGAATTTTTTAGTGTTCTTCCCAGGACTCTGAAATCTCTTTTGACTGACCTCAGACTTTTTGTTGTGACATCATTTGTACCCATGTGAAAGAGCAGAAGCAGATAGTAGCCTGAAGGTCATTCTAGACTCTTCAGTTTTGTGGTGACATCCCTAATTCGGGCCCCAGGAAGGCAGCAAACTTGCCTGAAAAGAGGGTCCCATCTGCAAACATGTGCTTCTGTTCTGCACAGGAGGGAATCACCAATGACCATAACTCATTGTTGTTTCTTCTTGGTGCTGGTCTTAATGCAGGTTTTGTTGTGGGGGATTGGTCTCTCTGACCTTGGCAAGACTGCTTGCACGGTTCCTCCTCTATCTCATTATGCACTTCATCCACCATACCCAGGGCCTCATGCCTGTTCTGTAAGGGTATCTCAGAGGGTAAGGAGGGGTTTCTTTTACCACTGCTTCCACCTCTCCTTATCCCTTGTAATGCTGCCTTCCTCCTGGCACAAAGCAGATCCAGGATCTGCCTCTGTAGTGTCTACGCTGAATCAGCCTGCATGCATCATAGTTGGCAGAATATGGCTCCATTGATCAATCTCCCTCTCAGACTCTTGAATACTCCTCAGTTTTGCAAAAGGTTCAGGTACTTACTGCCTTCTCTGTCTTGGCCTACTCTATTGGTAAAACCCACACTCAGAAATCCTGAGCCCCTGAGGCTAGCAGGAAAGTCTGCAGCAAGAAAGATTTACCCTTGGCGAAGGAGGATCAGCTTAAGGAACATTTAAATAAACTGGAAATACACAAGTCCCTGGCACCTGATGACATACACACACCTGTGCTGAGGGACCTGGCCAATGTCATTGCTAGGCCACTGTCAATAATCTTTGAAAGGACCTGGTGACTGGGTGAGATGCCTAGGACTAGAAGAAGGCAACTGCCACTCCTGTCTTCAAGGAAAGCAAGAAGGAGGAAGTGGGAATGTACAAGCCACTCAGCCTCAACTCAGTCCCGAGGAACTGATGGAGCAAATAAGCATGGAAACCGTTTCTCAGTGTGTTAGGGACAGGAAGACGACTGGGAGTTGTCAGCATGGATTTATGAAGGGGAAATCCTGCCCAACTAACCTGACAACCTTCTGTAGTGATGTGGTGGGCTCAGTGGTTGAGACAAGATCAGCATATGCTGTTTACATTGACTTCTAACATTGTCTTCCTTAACATTCTCATAGGCAAACTGAGGAAGTAGGGACTAGGTAAGTGGACAGACAGGTGGACATGGAAACTGACTGGAGTGCCAGGCTGAAGGAGTTGTGATCAGCAGCGTGACGTACAGCTGATGGTCAGTGATTACTGGTGTAGCCCAAGCACTGATTTTGAGACCAATACTGTTTAACATCTTCATTAACGACTTGCATGATGAGACAGAGTGCACCCTCAGCAAGTTTGCAGATGATACAAAACTTGGAAGGACTGGTTGATACACCAGATGGTTTGTGCTGCTCTTCAGAGGGACCTTGATGAGCTTGAGAAAAGGGATGACAGGAATCTCACAAAGTTCAGCAAAGGGAAATGCAAAGTCCTGCATCTGGTGAGGAAGAAGCCCATGCTTTCGGTACCAACTGGGGGGCAACTGTCCTGAAAGCAGCTTTGCAAAGAAGAGCCTGAAGACCCTGGAGGAAAACAAGTTGACCATGAGCCAGCAATGTGCCCTTGCAGTAAAGAAGGCCAACAGCATCTTGGGCCACATGAAGAAGATAGGGCACTGGTGAGACCACATCTGGAGTTCTCAATTTCTGTGTCCAGTTTAGGACTCCCCAGTGCAAGAAAGACATGGGTGTATTGGGGCAGGTCTGGAGAAAGGCCCTGACAATTACTAGAGTCTGAGAGTATCTTTCATAAGAGAAAGAGGAGGACTGTATGTGGTGTTCTTTACCATGGTACTCCACAACTTTGTAAGGAAAATTTGGTATTTTCCCCTTTCTTCATTATTTTCTTTTCCAATAATTGCTGTCATTGATCTTTTGACAGCTATTGAGAATTGAGGCAATGATTTCTCAATTCCAAGATATTTCTTCTGCATATTAAATCAATTATTACTGAGTAATATTTATTGTATGGTCCTGGAATCCTGCACTTGCCTAATCTTACTTATTATCTATAAAGTAATACTTCTAAAATTTGGCGTGTCTATTAAGGAAAAGCATATTATTCATGGATCATTTTGTAAGCTGGCATCACTTCAATACGTTTTAGTACAGCCCAAGGCAAGATTATACCCGTTGGGGCGGTGGTGGGAGAAATGTAGATTCCTTTTTTAGGCTAGGCAACTAGCCTAAAACAAGAAAAGAATGTAGGGTCATTGCAACAAGTCAAGGTGTATATGTTTCACAGTTCTTGGACAAATAAGCAAGGGAATAATAATTGAGTGATACTACTTTTTTTAAAGGAATACTACTGGAAAACTTTTTCCAGTTTGGCTGTCCATATTTGATAAATAAAACATTGCAGTTTTCCCTGAACTCTTACAATGATCTTGAAATAAGATATACAACAATTTTGTTTTATGAGGCAATGTGAAGAGATTCCATCTGATCTGATTACAGAACAAAAAGTTAAGAGATGATCCCACCACAGCTTCTCAATGCGAGGTGATTTCTGACAATAGGGCTTACCTTAATCTTGACTCAATTGCAGAAAAATGTTCAATAGTTGTAAGCTGTAGTTATATATAATTGTGTAAGAAATAAGGCATAGACTGTTGTAGGACAATAATGAGCTCCTGGACTGTTTCATCTAGGAATAAGGTGAATACTGTATGACCAGAAGGTCTTAAGTTAAAATTGAACATTTTTGTAGAATTATATTGTAGCTCAGCTCACCTCAAAAACCTGTTGCTTCATGTGAAGAAGCTATCATGAACTCAAGGAATAGAGCAGTAAAGAAAGCATGATGTTCTGACTCAGGTTGAAGTTATGGATTTGTTGGATGAAATTTTATGTGTTAATTGGGATACAGTGACAATTTATTATTGGGTTTTGGCCTGTCTATCTAATGATCTTGAGTGCTTCCACAGAAGAATCTATATATAAAAAGAAACATTAATCTACAATCCTCTATTTCAGTTTTGAATGTAAATTGCTTATTGAGGCCACAGTCTTTGTTTTCAACACCACTCCAACACATGTCCATTACTTTTTATTGGAGAAGAAATATAACAAAGTGTTCTGAGAGATAATAGATTTTATAGATTTTTTAAAAATAATTTCCTATATTTTGGCTGGTTAGAGCTCAAGTGGTTTGATACAGCTAATATAGAAACTTCATTCTACCTCTTTGTACTTTTTGTGAATGGTATACAATTAGCTGCAGTTGGGGGTGAGATTTTGCTGTCAGATGCACTTTGTGTGTACATGTATCAAGATTTATATAAACCAATGTGTTCTCCATTTTTTCCAAAAGTTGTGCCTAGTAAACCAATGCAGTCACATGTACTGTAGTAAAAATCCTAAACTGAAATGTGTATCACATTACTTTAAGGGAGTCTGCTGTGATTTTTTCCGCTATCTTGGTATGAGATAAATGTTATAGCATGCTTATTGCAGGAAATTGGAATAAAAAATGTTTATGTTCTGATTTTTGGTTTTGGTTTTTTTTTTTTTTTTTTAATTGTGTAGGGTTGCAAATGCAAAACTTAACAATTTTTCTCGCCTGGAGCCCACGCTTCACCTCCTTGGCGTACAGTTTAATGAGAATGTGGCCCAAGACATCATGACAGGACAGCATGGGGCTGCAACAAAGCTTTTATATGAATTGTATATTGCTTTAGAAAAAAAGAGAAAGGCAAAGCTCACTGGAGTAGCCATGGAAGCAATGAGACCTGCAGCAACTGCAAAGCTTAATTCTATTGAAAGTGTTTTGTATCAAGAGGTAACTATGCCTATTTTGTATAAATATATAGGAAAAAAGGTAGCGTATTTGCCTGTACCTCTCAAGCATGTTACATGCTTCCCATTCCCGCTTTTTAAAAATTTCCTATTCAAAACCAATACTTATATGGAAAATAAGCAGTCATTTGCTATGTCTTGTACAGAGTCAGTGAGATTACACGGTTTATCTGTGACTCATGAGGATATTGATCATCTGTTTTGTGTTTCTTTGTTTTGGCTCATTCTGTGTTACCTGCTCTGTGTTTAAACTTTCTCCAGACTTACAGTACGCATAGCAACGAAGGCTAGTAGGTGTTCAGCAGCTGCCATTTTACTCATTTGGTCAGTACAGATTGCAGACTGCATGGTGGTCTAGGTATCAGCTTAGACTAATTTCCCCTTCAGGAAACCTATTTATAACTGTGTTGAGCTTTGTGCCACAGTGGTTTTGTTCCTTCTGTTGCACATCTCTCCTTATATTTATACTACCCTCCAGCCTGCAATAACCATATGCTGAGTAATATGAAGAGGAAAAAACAAAGGAGAAAGAGAGTAGCTAAGAGGAAGTCAGTATCAGTGTAGTAGATTCTGTTAAGGATGTTCTTCTTGTCTTCAACAATAAAGTTCAGCATCTGTAGACCATAATTTGTTATCAGGATGAGCAATCTTTAAGAAGCTATATATTGTGACTTGAATTCAGCTGGGTGCAATTTCATGTTTTTTTCTGGCACACTTCCTGAAAAATAGTCTACAAGCAGAAAGTTTACCAACAAGTGCAAGGATAGTACCAAACAGTCAAAAGATCCCTTCACCTATACAGAGATAGCTTAAAGAAGATAAAACAACGGAGAGTAGCTCCTGTCAATAGATAGGTTCAGAAAGGCATTTGAATCATAGACTAGTTGAGGTTGGAAGGGGCCTCTGAAGGTCACTTAATCGACCCCTCCTGCTCTAAGCAAATTTGACTATAGCAGGTTGTTTGGGACCTTGTTCAGCTGGGTTTTGAATATCTCCAAAGACAGAGACTTCACAGCCTGGGCAAATTGTTTATCACGTTTCTTTTTTTTTTTTTTTCCTCATGTTTAAAGTTGAATTTTCTATATTTCACTTTGACTAGAATCAAATAGAATATTTCCAGTTGGAACAATCATCTAGGCCAACTGCCTGACCACTCCAGGGCTCACCAAAAGTTAATGCAGGTTGTTAAGGGCACTGTTCAAGTGCCCCTTAAACACTGATGGGCTTAGGGCATCGACCACCTCTCCAGAAAGCCTGTTCCAGGGCTTGACCACCCTCTTGGTAAAGAAATGCTTCTTCATGTCTAGTCTAAACCTCCCCTGGTGCAGCTTTGAACCATTCCCACATGTTCTGTCCCTGGATCCCAGGGAGAAGAGCTCAGCACCTCCCTCTCCACTTCCCTTCTTCAGGAACCTGTAGGAAGCAATGAGGTCGCCCCTCAGACTCCTTCTCTCCAAACTAGACAAAGTTTGGCATTGTTCAAGTTCAAATCTGCATATTTCTTTTCAATTGAGTTAATCCTGGTTTTCTGAAAAACATTCAACCATGCTTAGATGTTGTTCTGTGTACACAGGAAAATGCAGTTTGAAATTACTATTGCAAAATTATCATATTTAAATATGTTTCTTCTGTTTTTACTCTTCATTGGTTGATGTTTAATTTTAGCGTTTGAAAACTTTAACGCCACGTCAGGCTGATTTGCAACTACAGCAGATTTCAGAGCATTTTGAAATAAAATCTAAGGCAATAGAAGATAAAATAGCTCATATACGTATTGCAGAACAACAGAAAATTCAGAAGCTCCAAGAGGAAAAAAGAGCCCAAGACATTGAAAAGGTGACTATTTACTTTTTATAGACTTCTGAAGAGGTATTTTCTTAAGGTCATGTACATAATGAGTTAGTTGAAGCTAGCGTATATGCCATGCTCATACAAAAACAATAAAAAGGAGTGTGCATGGTGATCATTAATATGTAGGTATAAAGCCATTATACTGTTATAAGACCCTTACAAATATTAATATTTTAAAATAACTTAATGTTAAAATGAGAGTATTTGCATATTGTCATGCATGGAAAAGATTTCTAGATTTGAAGACAAAGTGTAAATTTCACAACTGTGTGTGTTTAAGGTGTCCTTGTAAAACAGGTTTGTGACAGAAAAAGATGAAGCAGGAAAAAGACACAGGGAAGGGGACCTATAGTGGGTATGGCCCCAGAATGTCCCGTAGTTCTGTGTAGCTGTTCTGATAAAGTAAAAAAGAGGAACTAATTTCTTAAAATATGGGAACAGTCATCCAAAGTACAGCCTGTAGTTTATATAGAGGAACTGGCCAGCTATCCAAGGGGTGTTGAACCACAGTGAAAATGAAGTTGGCTAATTTGAGATGCATTTTATATGGCTAATTAAAGCGAGAGAGTCCTGCCATGGTTATTTAGCTGTTCTGTTGCCACTGCATGAACAAGAATGAAAAAAAAAGTCCCATCATGTATCTAGAATAGAAAATAAAAGCAATATCCAAACTATTCAAAATAAAATTTTAAAATAAAATTTATTAATACCTTATTTTATACTACATATTTATTTTGATTCTTTGTAAAAAACCTTTTCCACTCAATTCTACCTTTAAAGACATGTATCTGCAGTGCACTTTTAACCAGTGTAATTTAAATATTTGTTAACTTCTTGATCATCTTTGACTCATTCAGTGGCAATATTACCTAATGGTATACTCAATTTCTGTACAAGGAAACTGGTATTCCCAGTGTCTGTGCTGAATTCTGACCTGAAACAGGTACCATACTAGAGCTAGAATTTGATACAAGCCCTTAAATGCCTATTAGGCACTGAGCACAAACCGTTTTTCTTCACAGATGTGCTTCTATTGCACCGCACTATTTGTTAATGCAGACATAGCGTATATAGACGCACCATTTTCTCATAATGGTACTTAAAAATATATCTTCATCCTCAAATATTAAAAATGTATACTAGCATATTGCTAAGCTGTCAAATTATTCAGAATATAGAATGATACTTTAAAATGCATTTTACAACATCTAATTCTTGATATAAAAATGGTGAGAATATTCTTAAGGTTTAACTGTGGGCAAAAGATAAAGAATTTTTTGCTTTCATGGCATTTTAATGATCCACTTAAAAAAAGGAAAGAAAGAAAGAAAAGTCATTTGCTCAAACCTGGAGCCTGACAAGCTCTTCTACTTTCTTCCTTGAAGACTCTTTTCCTTATGGCTTGATCACATTTACTTCGTAGATATAAAGGTAGAGTATTAGGGCCATATGGTGTGTTTTCTATCTGAACAAAAGATGTTGAATATTCAGCATCGCATAGGAAGAAGGAGACAAAATGAAATAATGGCCAGGATTCAAGCAGCCATTATACAGATTCCAAAGCCACCACCAAGCCACACCATAAAAGCTATTGAAGCCAAAAAATTCTTAAAGAAGAAAAGAGAAGCAGAGGTAACTATCATCTATATTCCTTTAATGTTAATTCTATGAACTTGCAAAACATATGACTTCGGGGAGCATTTACACTTACAAATACTGTACTTGCACCATCCAAAAGCTTCTGATAAGTGTTGAAATGATATAGTAGACTCAACCAGTGAAAATTGGGCTAAATATTAATATAATTATGATTCTGCATTTGTTACTTAGTAAAAATTTATGTTGATGCAAGAGAAAGTTCTTATTAAATAAATACCATAGGTAGGTACTAATTTAATTGCTGACAGTATTTTAGCTTCTAGTCTACCGAGTAGTATATGTGAAATAAAAGCATTAATGTTTCCTTCTCATTTGTGCATGGTACAGTTTTGTACCATAATGTATGAACTCTTCTGTAACACACTATAAAACTGTCTGCTCTATCAAAAATGTTAGTAACAGCTGAAATTGGCAATAGTCCTAGATCAAATCAAGAGATGATGGCAATGCAGCAATAAAAAAAAAAAAATCTGTATTATCTAGTGCTGAAGTGTACTTGGATTGCAATCTTACAGTTCATGGACTGTTTTGTCATCAGGAGTGCAAATATTGCCAGTTTTTACAACTGCACGACCATAACAGATGCATTTAAATGTAGAGCGTGAGAACATAGCTGCTTGAGTAACTATTAGGGATAAATTCCAGCTACTGAATCTAAAGCAGATCATACCCCAGAATATCCTGGTTTGAATCCCTGAATGGTGTCCTGCTAGAGTCCTATGTAAAATCCTATGTATCCTGCAGGGTGAACAGCTGCAAAATCTTAGTATTTTCTGTCTGCTGGACATAGGTATAGCTAGGAAAAGGGCAGGGCGGGGCGGAATGAAATGAAAGATAGAAGAAGGAAATAGTCTTGCCTTTTTTCTTGATCTAGCTGATGCTTAAAATATTTTTAGTGTAAACATTTCTGTTGTACTAACATGACATAAAAATAATTCCCTAATCCTTAGCCTGTTGAACCTTCCTTATCATGCTTTGTGAAGTGAAAAGAAACATTACATTTTGTGTTATTTCTTCAGGACACATATAAGGAGATTAAAAAGTTTGAGAAGTCTATGGCAGGAAATGCCTCTACAGTACACAGCCAAGTCACTGACCGGTAATATTTGGATATTAGATTGTTAAGATTAGACAGGACCTTACCTCAGGTGCTTGTTATATATGTAGACAGCTACTTGAGCAAAGTGTAATGGCTTGTTTATTTTATACTGTGATTGTCCTTTGAGTGATTGTCCCACTAGCACTGCAAATATTCCAGCTCCAGCACCGTTAACAGTGTTTTTACCGTACCTTTAGTTGTAGTAGGGATGGCTCAAGCTTCCTTCTCTCTTTTTTCCCATATATACTGCAACAAATGACAAAGTGCATCTCTTCTCCGTTCACTTCAGTCATTGAGTCTGTAAGGTCAATTAGACTCGCAGAGAGACAAGAATGGTTATGGATGTACATACACAGTAACACATCTCAAAGAAAGGAGAGAAGCAACCTTTCTCCTTAGACATATCTGTATGTTGATTTATTTGTGAGTAATTTTAAGTAATAGTCATTCTGTTACCTGTAGTGCTATGTATACCATACTCGGAAGAGTTGAGACTCATGCATACTGCTGTGGATACTTCTGTGTGTAAACAACCTGTGTTTAATAACTCTGCAAAACTACATTCAGAGTGAATGGATATATTGAAGAGTAACCCATCTTTCTTCAATATTCTCTGAGCCATCCTAGTTCCCCATTTCTGCAGAATTTGGCTTTATATTAGTAAAGGAACTAATTGACTATTGGCTCAGGTTGGTGCTGGAGCTCTCCTCTGGGCTTAGTGGTCATTGTGGGGCACAAGAGCATCAAGAAGTAGCCACAGGGCCCACAAAAAGTGCAGCTGTGCGTTTGCACATAACTATACAGGGATCTGTATGAAAACACCTCTAAGAACCATAATTCCTGTAAAGTCAGTGATCTTTTTCTTTTGATCTTTTCAATCAGTGATATACAAGAATCATTGCAAACACAGAACTTGCAAGAAACAACCCTAGAAACTACTTTGCAGAAAGCAAATGAGCTGTTAAACATTTATTCAGATGATGAATATATAAGGAAAATTCAAAAACGTTTAGAGGAAGATACATTTGCTAGAGAACAACGAGAAAAGAGACGACGAAAAATGCTAATGGAACAGTTAATAGCACATGAAGCTGAAGAGGTGAGAAAATGTATGCTGAAGTATATAACTCATGCACAATTAATACTCTAAAAATTTGGTTATGAACAGTGTTTCTGGAGGGTTGAATAAAATTTGGAGGGGATAAAGGGAGGTAGATAGTCTTATCTCTGAAAATAACTTTTATGCCAACCATTGTCTTTCCTTGAAAAATATGGAAGGCTGTCCATTCTTTCTCGCCACCTTTATGTCATACTTCATCCTTATAAATCATAATGGATCAAATGAAGGCAGCAGAGCTAAGATTATTAAAAATCAGTTGAAGACCAGCTTTCCATTCCCTGCCCCCTGCCAAAATTGGACTTTAAATTATCAAAATGCATACTGGTTCTGAAGAAGATACTGATTAAAAAACAATAATCATAGCATTCCTTGGTTGAAAACCTGTATTTACAAATATGTCATGTAAAGTTTTTGATCTGGACTGGATGAATTCTGAAATGGTTGTGCTGGGTGATATGAAGAAGCAATACACTTATTTTGCAGATCAGAGCTTTGATTTTTGGTATGTTATGGAATAGAAGATGGGTCTCTGCAGGATGTCTGTGTTTCATTTAAACATGGATGTTGCAGGTTACTCCATTTGAATCCTGTCCCGTAAAGCACAAGGCTTTTCAGATTCGTCCCCAGTCACTCCTTATTCAAAATGCAGCTCTTAGATTACTAACTTCACAGATCATCTCTTTCATAATGATTGTATCAAAACAGAACCTTGCAACTTACTGGGTTTCTGTGATTTCTAGTTATCTTTTGTCTTAGTATTGCACTTTAAGTCCTTAACTTAGATCATATATGTTGAACCCAGTATAGCCAAGTCTGTCTCCACTGCTGCTGCAGAATAATAGCACTTCAGATGTGTGGCATCTCTGAAAAGGAAAAGTATGATATTCTATATTCTATGAAAAACACCTGTAGTGGCTTAGACCAAGAGTCCATCTATTCATGTACCTTGTCTTTGGGCTCTCATTCAAAGAGATTCTATATCATGTTCTTGTTGATGTGCATAGGCCATGAAGAAGTTTTGCAACCCATTTGTCTGAAATCACTGTAGTCCCAAAACTTGTTCTTTACCTGCTGTCAGCTGTGGCAACCCTAGCACAAACCCAGCAGCCTGGACTAGTGGTTCTGATAGCCATGGCTATCAGCTGATGGCCATGGGGCCAGCAGCAGTCACTGGGGCAGCTCTAAGCCAGCAAAGCCAGACAGTGCTGTCAAGGTGGTCAGACAGCTGGTCCACCTGCAGTTGTAGTACAAGCCTTGTCATTTTGAGATGGAGGAGTAGTTGCAATGTGCTGCCAATCAGACTGGCTCCAGTGAGGCTCCAAAGCAAGGCAAGAGTAACAATAGTGTTCCTAACTTCCCAGGAAGAAAAACCAGTGTTGATATAGGAACAATAGAAGTCACAGACTGCAGGAATTAGAAGGAAAGCCAAGTGAGCAGTTGACTGGAACAGTAGTCTGACCAGATCAGAGAATCTATTTAGCGGTAATTTGGTTCTAAATTAGCAGAGGAAGAGGTGTCTGGTTGTAACTCTGTGAGTTTTCAGAAATTAGATGTTGCTTAACTTGTATGATGTGACGCAAACTGAGAAACTTTCTTTAAAAAATAATTACAAAGTAGTTGAAAATTACTTTCTCCCTGCATTAGACATCAAACAAGAAAGGATTTGCAGACTGAAATTGTAGCTTTCTTGTAGACATTAGGGCCAGATTTTTACTTACACTGCTTAAAACTTGAACACAGGGCATGGGATCATTTAGAGTCAAATTAATTCCATCCCTTCAGAGTGCTTTAGTGTGTTTCAGGTCCATATGTATAAACCTCTACTAAAAGCATCTAGTTCAAATTTTTGAGTTTTGGCACCCTACAAGTTGGAGCCTGGAAGAAAAAATATTTTACAATTACATGACACTTCTCTATGTGGAGCACAGGGTGATGCCAGTCAGATTTTCATAGGCAGGATTTGAAAGTGACAGTAACATGGCTTCATCCCAACTGAATCTTTGATCTCCACCATTTCAACAAAGTATTTGTTCTAAGTACTCATTATTTTTAAATGCTCTGTTCAGATTTTATCTCTCTAAATTTACAAAGTTACCAGGAAGAAGTTAGCATCAGCAACAAATTGAAAAGAAGAAAATTGGAGGGGAAATGAATTGTTACTAGATTATTGCTTGTCAACCAAACAGATTTATGTATGCTAAGTTATAAGTTTTGGTCATAAATTTTATGACTACACAACAAGACAGAATTATTTTATTTGTATGTAAATTAAACAAGGAAATAGAAAAATAGAAAAATGTGATATAGTAATTATGTAAGAACAACATGGAACATAAACACATTAATGTTTGACCACTGGATGCCACTGTTGTCTCAAGTAGGTAAAGTGAAAAATGCTTGTATTATGTTTTCTCAGTAGTAATTTTTCAAATTATTACTAAGATGGCCCATTTATGATATTTATGATTTCTTCAGACACTTCACAGTCCCCTGTGAAGAAGTTGATGTCAAGTGTTACGCCAAAAAATTGTACTACCATTTTATTTTGTCTCCTAATGTGCCCAGAAGTTTCAAAACTTTTCAACCTTAGGTTTTAGTACTTTGTCCATTCCTATTTGTATGAAAGATAGCTACCAATGCTTTGCTCCCCTATCCAATAAGCACCCTTTTTGAAATTGTTTGGTGTTCTGAATCCTAATTTATCCATTTTGTAGCTCTGAGTTAATTGCCTTTTCATATATTCTTGTTCCTCAAAAATTTCCTGCAGGCTCTTTTTAGGTCTACTCAGCATGTCAAAATATTTGATCCCTTAAAATATCAAGTTCTCCACCCTTCAGTTAACAAAGAAGAGGTCTCTTGGCTGCTCTGAAGTGTTCTAAAGGAGCTTCTTCTCATTTCCTTTATAAAGAGCGCATTCATTTAGATGAGGTGCTTGGATTTCTCACTGGGCCAACTATTTGCACCATACAGTTGATGGTCTGAGTGTGACAGATGACCACTCTCTTGGGGTGGCTCCTTCAATCCCTTGTGAATTAGAATTTAAAGATCCATATTCCTCTACTGGAATGCTTACTGCTGTACTAATCCATGGCTGAGGATAAGCAGTTGCAACTAAAGAAAACAATAAAGAATATTTACTTGTAATAGGAAGCAAAGTCTGTGCATCATCTACTCTTTGAAATCTTAATGAAATACTAAGTCCAAAGAAGCAGCAGATATAACTGAGGCAGCAAAGGGCATCATGTCTCCATTTTTTGCCTTGAATTCATGAATGTAGGAGACAAATGGACAGATTAACTCTTCAGTAGGCACTGCTGTTGGAAAATTGTATCACCTGAACTATATCAAATGACACAGCATGAACATGAAAATACAAAGTGTATGTAAAGTCATTACTATTACATTGTTTTCCATTTCAGTTATATGCATGATTATAATTGTATACATAGAAAAATACCTACACTGCAAATAGAGTACAAAACAAAACACATTCATAATTAGATCCTCATTTTGTGATAAGCTTTGTAGGGAGACAATACTGCATGTAGGTGAAGCACTCTGGGATTAAAGCCTGAGAAGACTGCATCTGTGCCATTAGAGCTATCATGCAGTGTCATGAGATTCAGTGTTGGGAAAGGGGAGGGCAAAGGTCACATGATAGCTAAAATAAGCAAAATGAGGGATTTTTATGTAACATTAGTATTTTCTAGTCACCAGTATTTAATTGGAATGTACTTTATTCCCAGCAATTGTAAAAGGAAAGGAACTTAAAAAAATGGAGTTTTGTTTGAAAAATATTTGCTTCTCTTTAACGTCAACATTAACTATCTAAATTAATTGGAAAGCGTTGTTCATACTATTGCCATTAAAATAGCCATATTTTGCAGCTTTGTGTTAGAAATCTATTACAGATGTCCTGATTGCATTGTGTAGCATAGACCTAGACCACTTTGTAGACTCCTTTCATAAATAGTATGACAATATGTAATAAAGTCTAATTTTTCATTTATAGCTGAATTTATGTAATGTGTTCTGTCCTCTCTGTCACAGACAGATAATGGAAAAGAAACCAGATTAAAAGAAAATAGAAGGCATACTTTGGTTTGTTTTTCATACTACTACTAACTGGCTTTACCTGTTCCTCTGTTCTTAGGAAAATGAATTTGAAATTGTCAGATCAGTTCCCAATTTAGGTCCTAAATTTGATTACATTTCATATCAGTTTTGCTGCATCTGAAACAAATGTCTGGGGAATCAGAAATTTCCTCTAAAATTCTGCTGTACAAGTGATATTTGGCAATGGGGCTTAAAATGCAAGCTGATGCATTTGCTTAGAACTCAGAAGTAGTTTTGGACTGTGAAAGTAGAGAGGCAAAATTTTATGTTAGGTGAAGCATTAGTTTAGATACCAAGAACAGCCTAGAGAAGTATAGGAGTGAGAAGAAAGTATTGTGTTTTGACAAGTGCTTTGAAGAGTAACAGTCCACAGCGTTCACAGTGTCTCTGCACACCGACCATGCTTCAAGCAATGGTTCAGAATTATTTTCTTATAGTACCAAGTAGGGTATTCTATTCATGTGCCTGTGAGAACATTAAAACTGTTACCCAGAAGTCTTGTATTTTCCTCTGTTCTGAATGCTTCCTCATATTCCCAGTCTCCTGAATGGAAGAGATAAGTACCCAAATCCCAAGAAAGAAAGAAAAAGTTCAAGCCTCTAGAATAATAGACTAATCAAGTATCCAGAAGAGTATGACTGAGAATGGGGACTGGTGAAGAGCAGGGATAAGTTAGTGATTTGAGGAAAGGGTATATCTTCATGTACAGAAGCAATTATTTGAAATATGCCACAGCTTCTTTGTACACAGGAAATACCCCAGTTAAAATTGAGTTAATCTGAACAAATATATTTTTACTGAGTATCTCCATTAAGGCATATTTAGAATTCACTTCTATAGTTCTACATTTCTTACATAGTATGCACTCACGAATAGATATGCATGTTTTTCTGGATTTATGTATCAAATGAACAGGTAAATGCCATTATATGACTCCATTCATATTTCTCATATGAGACATTGATGAGTTGTCTATAAAATAGTTTATAAGCTGTGCGTAATCCTATTATTTTTCGTCTTTTAGGAGGCTTACCGGGAGGAGCAACTTATTTACAGACTAATGAGACAATCCCAGCAGGAGCGGAGGATTGCTGTTCAACTCATGCATGTTCGACATGAAAAAGAGGTGTTAAGGCAAAACAGAATTTTCAGGGAAAAACAATATGAAGAAAGACGACTGAAAGAGTTCCAGGAAGCTCTTGATAGAGAAGCGGTAAAAGATTATTTGCTCCCTGAATTGCTGCAGGATTGTTACAGTACCTTCCTGTTATAAAATGGAATTTGTATTGTCAAGTGTTAGAATTTAGGCCTTTTCTAGGAACAGGGTGATTTAATGATCAATATATTCTTTTATCTAGGTTCAAAGTTACAGCTAAGTTAATAAGGGATAAAGCTGAGCAGCTTAAGGTCTAGTTTAATCTTTTCTTCTAAACTAATTTTAACTTTGTAGGAAAACATCTCTGTATGCTGAGTTTAAAAGACACAGTCTTGCAGAGGCAAAATGGCAAAAGACAATAACATAAGATGTTTCAAGAATCATGTTTTTCATTTCCTTTAGATGTAATCTGTTAACATCCGTTCTTGACAAATGTTGGAGGCGTTTCACTCATGAGTGCTAATTTCTACCTTGGAGCTTGTAGTTGATTAATAAATTAAAAGGACTCATAACCTTGTGGCAAACTGCCAACTGCTATGCTCACAGTAGGCCATAATGTGATGGTAGAAATCTTATTTTGCTCCTGCCAAAAATGATTAGCAGCTCCAAATCCTCAAATACAGCTGGAGTCCTATGTAATCAGCAGCTATTGATTACAATATCTCTTAAGTTACGCTTTCAGCCAAAAGGAGCACACCATCACAGGAACTACTGATGATTTTCTACCACGACCAGAAATATTTCTCAAAGATTGAACAGCATCAATAATGCCAAATTATTTTCAGATTAGAATCTTAAAAGTTAAATTACTTGTCATGTATCATAAATGAGTATTTCATTGTGTGTTTCAGTGGAACTAAGCTTTTACCAATGCATCTGCATAGTTGTTCCTTAGGAAGAGTTGACAGCATCATTTCATGTTTCTCTGCCCCCTAAGCACAGAATATGTTCGTAGTCTGTTTGTCATGAAAGAAGTAATATATTTCTCCTTTATTTTGTTATATTTTAGCAGTAGAGAACAAACAAAATGGAATTTATAGAATGAATAAAAATTTTTAGATTTGTCTATGTGTTAATCTGCTTGCTGCCTATGCAACTCTGGTAACAATCTAGCTGTTCTTGACTTAAATGAGCAAGTTCATTTTTGTTTCTAGGACTGTGCACTTCTGCACTTTCATTTTATTTGCAATCTCAAATTTACTCTTCAAAAAAAATTCTAGGCTCTTGCAAAACAAGAAAAAATTGATAACGAAGAACAAATTATCAGAGAGAGAGAATGTCATGAGAAAATGGCCATTGAAAGAGCTCAGGCACATTATAAAAAACATTATTCTATGTGTTGGGAAGTCATCAACCAAATCATTGATTTGTCAACGAAAGTAGCAGAATACCGTCTACTGACAAACAAGTGAGTATGGTAGCTGTTAGGCAAAAATAACAGCTGTTAGGTAGCTGTTGGGCTTCATTATTCAGACTGGTTTAAGCACCATAACATCTTATGTAGATTCTCAGATATCTCACATGACATCTCCAATTAGTTTGTGTGGGAAAATGATGATATTACTTTCTTGTGAGGATTCACTGATATGTAAAACAGGGTGAACTAATGCTAAAGCCTTGGCATTATTTCTTGAAAATTCAACTAACCTGAATCCTTAGGAGGCCAAGATCCACTAGTTCTACAGCTTGTGGAACTACTGATTTCCTTTTTTTAATGAAAAAAATCCTTATTTTAAAAGTTAAAAACTGAGTCTTGCTCACCTCATTCTAGATTGCTCCACTAGCTGAACACTTCCTCAGTGTAGAATAAACAGAATGAATTTCCTAAGATATATCAACTTGCCTGGACTGTCCTAAGAGTAGCCACTCAGTCCAAAATCTTCCGAGTCCTACATGCTGGGATTTCCTCTTCTGATGTGCCCTAATTGCACAGGGTTTCTGAGAAGGTCCTAAAACAGCAGTAGCTTCCAAGTGCCTGTGCTCTAGTAGTGTTTCTAAAACCACAGAGTGGTGCATTGTTCTTTCACTAGTGTTCAGCGCTTAGATCTATGGGGTAAGGCTTACAGCATTAGAAAGTATGCCAAAATCTCTATTGCCTTTTAGTGTAATTGTATATTAAAATAATAAAGCTGTAACCATATGAAATACATGTGATTATATTTTATGGAAACTATATAAATTTAGGCCCAGTAAGTCTGTGATAACAATAGTTGGCCTAGACACAGTTCAGTGATGATTTCCTTGTCTGACACAGTCGTGGTTCCAGTGTAAGCTGGTGTCACAATTGCTTGTATTGAGTGGTGCAAAATATGTAGAGGTATGTGAAATATCTTTCCAAAGTATGCACATCAAGATTGTATCTGCATTTACTTGCACTATAGGTATGCTTTCTCTGTCCTTCCTCACACTTCATTGTGCAGGATGTATACAATAGTTACTTAATTATTTTTGAACAGCACATGCGGAGTTTATTTAAAGCTATAATGCTCAACTATCTACAATCATTACTAAAAAAAAGAAAGTCCAAATTGATGTAATCTTAAAACATGGTAGAAACTTTCATTTTGACAATTTGTTAAATTTAAGCTGTTATTTATATTGTTTATTTAGCAGCTATAGAATTCTAATGTGACATATGTCAGCATCCTGTTTACATTTAGCTTGCTACTATATGCAGCTTGTCTTGTTGTTTCACATAAATATTTCTCCTTTCCAAAAGAAAAAAAAAGCATTTAATTACTCATATAATTCTAAATTAATTTTAGATTCCAGGAAATACGTTCTGTAGATTTTTGGTGAGAGGAGGCTTTACCCCACAAAAGGGAAGAATATTTTGGAGCAGAGAAAAACAGCTATAGCAAAACTGTTACTACACAGCTCTGCCAGCCAGATACCATGTGATGACACACTTGTGAATACTGAAGCCTACAAGTGCCTATGGCTGTCATATAAGTAACCAAGCACTTATGAAAAGCTGTAATAATTATAGAAAGCATTATAAACTGTATCTAGTTTAGCATATGCTTGTTTCATGATTGTGACTTTTGTAAATTTGGGTCCACCATTCTCAAATATTTAACAACTCCCTAATTTTTGTTTTGGAACTCAATTTTTTTTTTTTTACTTCAGCAGCAGAATTCCATTAAAACTGATGCTTGACTGGAAGGAATTTTTTTTTAATGGAAAACCAATGTATGAACAAGCCTCAATTCAACCTTTGCCAAATGAACCAAGTCCAGAACAACTTGTAGAACTGAGTAAGATGAATCTGTTAGATGAAAAAGATTATAATGAATACAAGGTACATCAAATTGATAAGACATAATGGAAGATAATACACCTTGATTTGTCATAATCATAAACAATTTGTTGTGATGTTTCATTTTTTATTTTTACTAGTTTCTGATATCAGATTTTGACATGCATTTTCTTTTCATTGCCTGAGGTTCTATACGAAATAGATATATTTTATGTTAATAGCACTGGAGAACTGGTACAATTTTAAAACTGTTATAATTTCATTCTTCTCTATAACATTGATTATATTTCTATCTTGAGTTTGTAGGACCAACATGTTAATTGCAATACAATTAATTTTTAGCTTATTGGAATTTGAAATTGTGTCTAAAGCTACCACGTTTGAAAATGCAACAGAAAGTATCCAGCAAAAGCAAGCAAAATGAAATACTGCATCTGTTACAAAACCCTGTAGTCTTAATTGCAGCAATTTTGAGTGAAAGCTTTCTAACAAGATTTATTGGTTCGAGTGATCCATTTATTTTAAGATGAAATTGTTTGTAAAAATTATTAAAAATGCCTGACATTTTTGTTAACCTTCTGTTAGAATATATGTAACTGTTTTTCAGGGTGCCTTAAAACTTTTCTTCAACTTTAGAAAACATTGTTGTAATTTCACACAAGTGAAGGATGAAGGATGAATGTTTCCCTGTTGAAATGTATTGCACAATTTTTTTAAATAACAGTAATGGTGGTAATAATAATAATAATAATAATAATAATAATAATAATAATAATAATAATAAAGCCCAACACAGGCAATTTGGCATCTGTCAAAAATACTAAGTTTACATTAGGAATACTGACTGAGTGTCAAATGTATTTGATAAAACATGAGAACAAAATACAGTGCTATCAGTCCGTTGCACATTCTACATTAGATTGAGCTTGAAAATATTTAGAAAATACCACATCATTAGTTGTGGCTAATCAGTTAATAAATTAATGGAATCACTCAAACTAAGCATTACAGTTGGCATTGCTCAAAATATAAAACAATTTCCTGTTTCAATTGAGAGTGTTCACGAGGAGTTATATAACTCTCACCTGGATACCTAAAAACTTGTTTCTGACAGGTAAGCTACTTTAGCTCAAGACAGGTACAGTCTAGCAATCTTGTGGTTAAAAGGGCAAAAAATCTGAAAGGTGAGTACTTTGAAAGGGGAGCCCATTCCATTTGGAATTCATTTTTTCTACAAGTCTGGTAGAATTTAAAACAACTGATCCATCTCTACTTACATGTTTAAGGAAGAATGGTTCAGATAAGGCAAAGATTTGGGTTTTTTTTAAGTATGTCTTTTCAATTGCATATTAAGGAGTGTGTTTCCTGAGATATATTAGAGAGGGGATATTGTGCAACTCAAAAAGATTGTTTTGTTTTGTTTTTGCTTATTAAAAATAGGGGATATTTTCATTTAGAGTGATAATCAGTTACATCGTGTTATTCTATCTAGTGCACATGTTCAAAGTCAACACTGATCAAGTTCTGTTAGTATGCTGTGGCAATATATCATTCATGATAATAAGCTCAGGAAAAGATTGCATATTCTATCAGAAACATGAATTCAAAACATAATTTTTGATAGAACTTTAAAACTGGTTGCTTCTGTTGATGGTGATTAAATATTTAATTTATAGAATGATACAACTGTTTAGGTTGAAAGGGATGTGGAGGTCATTTAGTTCAACCTCTTTGCAGGGCCAGCTTCTGAGTCAGATAAGGTTGCTCAGCACCTGTTCTGGGCAACTTTCAAGTATTTCCAAGGAAACATATCCCACAGACTCTGTGCAACGTGTCCCTGTGCTTAACCACTTTCACTGTGAACAGTTCTTTTTCTTCATTTTTTTTCCTAGTTGGAATTTCTCTTGCTGAAACATTTGACTTTGCCTCTCAACCCTTTATTGTGCACCCTGAATGAGGTGGCAAACTAGAATCTAATTAGGAATATTACTAGTCCACATATCTTCCAAACAGCTGTTTGTTAGCCTGCAACCAAATAATAATTAATACAGGTCTAGTATTATTCTGCATACTAAAATGTTCTCCTTTAGCTTCTCATAGCATAAGCTGCACATCAGGACCTTCCAGTACTGGTAGAGTATATATTAGAGTGGCAAAACCACAATTCTGTGTTCAATTCTTTTGACTACATCTTTCCATTGTCATCTTCCATCTAATGTGATTGTCAGTAAGTGTATCTTTACTAGCAAAACCTTATTAAGCTGTATGCTGGTAACTCATACCACTGATAAATTTGTATTGGTCTCAGGGTAGATAAAATGGAAGTTTCTACTGAGTATTTCCTTCCCTTAAAATTGTTTGAATGATATGGTGGTCTGTTTGGTTTGGATTTGTTTTGGGCTGTTGGTTTTTGTTTGTTTGGTAGTTTGTTTTCTTTCTATTGAATGTGTTTTAGGCAGATATCTGTATCTGAAATCTTTGTCCGTAAATTTTTTTTAATATATTTGTGTGATTGGGCAATAATGTTGCCCAATTTTTAGAATGCTGAATATCAGGATACTGGGCTTGTATTCCAAAAATCTGCTACTGATTCGTTCTGTGGTATTGGTGAAATGACTTTTCATGTTTATGGAATCAAAAAAAAAATTATTCTAGGAATCTATGAAGATGGTTGTAGAAGTACTTGTCTCCCTCAACTAGGTATTAGTGAGTATCAGTAAATGCTTAATGATTATGACGTAATTATAGCTTATAACAACGGTCTAGTCTAAAAAATGTTTTATTATTTAGTACTATACAGATTTGGTTATTGTATATATTGTGTTTGTGTATAAATACATATATCTAAAAAGATGAAGGACAAGGCATATTGACAAATTATTTGGTAATTTGTCATTTATACAGAGTATGACAGGGGAATGGTGTCCAACTGAAGAGAATAGTGAAAACAAACCTCCTCTTAATAATAACATACTGGGTCATGTGCTTCGTAGACTGATGGAGATTTTCTATCCTCCAAAACCTAAATCTTCACCACCTGTATTTCCTCCATTTCCTATCAAGGGATGTATTTTGGGAAAACCTTTTAGTGGAAAAACTACCTGTGTAAAGTTTATTGAAAAAGGTAGAGTTTTTTTTTTTCCTGAAATTCTTTAAAATGTTTATTTGTGTTAAAATCTCATTATTACAATGAAAAGCATTTAGGCAAATCCTTGCTTTACTAATCCTCGAACCTCAGATGCATCTGTGTTTTGGAGGGGTTGGTTGCAAGCCATTCATTCATTATCTTCCAAAATAAGATGAAGAACACCTGAACTTGAATATTGTGTTAATATAGTATTACTTCTGCATTGAGAATTCTTTGGGGATGTTTGTAATAGAAGAGACTAGCAAGATAGCTATATGATTGTGGATGCACACTGTGCAGTGGTTACAGAGAGACAGCAGAAACAGCTTACATTCACAAGCCCAAATGAAGTAATTAATTTAACTGTCAGTAATAGTCTCTCTGTATGCGTGCTCAGCTGAGACTGTAAAGTTATCTAATTTTTTTGTGTATTAGCTTGCAATATTCAGGTACTATCTGTTGATACTCTGGTTCAGGAGGCTATCCAAGCTTTTCTTGAAAATGAAATGAAAAGTGAACACAGTGTGATTCCACAAGAAACAGAGAGTTCTGGGAAACAAAATAAGGTAAGCATTTTTGTTAATTTTGGTTTTGGCTCCCACAAGGAGATGAGAATGAAATATATAAGGAAGAAAGTATATTGTTTCAATTTTTTAACTCAATTTCAAACTTAATTCTAATTTTTTACTTACAAGACTTCAAAAGTGAGCTTGAATTGGCAGGCTTGTTCTTCCTGTGATAGGTAGTTTCCTTTCTAATCCATTTCCTTTCATAACTGATAAAAGGTCTGGAAGAACTTATCAAAATCACCACTGAAAGTTCTAAAGAAACTCCAACCAGAAACACCTACCAATGAAACCAAAGGTGTGTATATATTTTATTTATTTATATATGTATGTATGTATGAAATTTAATTCTTATCCTATTAAATTTAAATGGCAATTCCCCTTTCTCTTATACATTTGAGATAGTATCCGTGACAGCTGAGTTTTCACAGTACTTTCCATTATAAATTTCCTGTTCCCACACATTCCTAGTGTCAGGGAGCAGCAAGTGTAGGATGCTCCGTGAAGGAAGGAGAGCTAGGTGACGTGGGCAATAGCAAATCAGGAAGTGCCAATGTTCAGCAACAAAGAGTGCGGATATCAACTGAAGTCAGGGTCACTATCAGGTCCAGAGACATTGATCAGCGTGAGTCTCAGTCTGGTGATAACCCAGCAATTCTGCCAAAGAAGCAAGTCTGAGGACAAGCCGGGAACTCAAGTCAGCAGGTGTGGATCAGGGTCAGAATCAAGGAGAGAGGATATGGGTGCAGACAGCTGTAATGGACCACAGGCAGCTTAAAAGCAGCTTCGAAAAGAAAGAAGGGCAAGCCCTCACTTCCCCTCACTTTACCTTTCTTTATAACGGATCTTATCAACAAAGGAACTGACACTGGGCTCAGCCACCTAAGCTCAGAATCACAAAATGATTGAGGTTGGAAGGGAACTCTGGAGATCTAGTCCAGTCCTTCTTAAAGCAGGGTCAATACTGCAGGCTGTTCAGGACTACGTTCCGTTGAATGCTGAACTTCTCCAAGGATGGAGATTCCTCAACCTCACTGAGCAACATGTTCCAATATTCTGAAACCCTTGCAGTTAATATTTTTATGATTAAATAGAATTTCCTGTGTTTCAGTTTGTGTCTCTTGCCTTTTGTCGTTTTACTTAGCACCACTAAGTGTCTGTTTTCTTTACTTTCCTCCCCACCTTCTACACATTGATAAGACTCCCTCAGGCCTTCTCTTCTCCAGGCTGAAGAGTCCACTTGAGTAGGACCACATACTCCCTAGCCTTGCTTTTGCTGTGGAGATACCTGTAAAAGCCCTTCTTGTTGCCCTTCGGACTAGACATAAGACAAGAACTTTTCCCCATGAGAACTATTAAGCACTGAAACAAATTGCCTAGAGAGGTCGTGTAGTCTCCATCCTTGGAGGTTTTCAAGATCACACTGGATAAACAACTGAGCAACCTGGTCTGACCTTTTAACTGATGCCACTTTGGGCAGAAGTTTGAACTTGAACTCCAGAAGTTGCTTCCAACCTGAATTAATCAATGATCCTATGATTCAAACAATTGTATATAACCTCTATATTGATTTGTTTGAAGAACAATAATGCAGCATATACTTTTATTATTTATCTATAGTAACAAATATTATAGTAATAGAATTGTTAAACCTTATAATGTACCTATTTTTAGGTAATTGTCCTGCCAAAAAGGATCCATCTCGGCAAGAATTTAAATCAGACAACAGTCAGGATGGCCTGTCGAAGGTTTGTAATCCAATCTTAGCTTCTACTTTATAAAGATGCATTTGTAAAAATGGTTAAATTATTTAAATGGTGACACCCTTTCATCATTCTGAATTGATTTATTACCCTCACTGCAAGCATTTTCCGTATGAAATATGAAGAATGTATTATGAAAATCTATTCCTGTGTATGTTGGTTATAGTTGTATATATTAAAGTTCTGTATGTGCCCATTGAATCTCACATTTACATAAGATATGGTACTTTCTCTGTAATTTCTGAGTTAGCAAAAATTTACTCCTCATCTTGCTGCTGCCAAGAGATAATTCATCCCGTGACAAGATTTCTTTTCTTTATGTTCAAAAATACTTAATTCTACAATGATCTCCTTGGCTTTATTGCTCACTGGAAAATACTTCAAAAGCTGAGATATGAAAGAATCCCTGTAGAACTAATGAAGCTAAATGCTTCTGTAGGAAACTGTCAGTGTATTTATGGAAGTGAAAATCGGAATAAGCTTAGAAACAGGACACTTAGTTTTTTATCTCTTTGCCTTCATATCCTTTGTTTCTCAGCCTTGTTCTGGCCTGGCATTTTCATGGGTGTCATGGGTGGAAATCAGTTGGAAATTTCAATTAAATTAGGCATTTTTTACATCAGTTGAAACTACTTCTCCTTAATAGAAAACAATAAATATTAAATAGAAATAACACAATAAGCATTAAATTTAAATAAATATATGGTATATAATATATAAAGTAGAATCATACTCCTAACAGTGAGTATTGGGAACATTCTGAACATACTAGTCTTACACTACGCTCTTC